TCCTACGTCAGGAAGCATCAGGACACAATGGTTAGAATCATCATACGGTGGGTTTCTTGGCAAAGTCTTATGTTCTGCTTCCTTGCACATGCATCCAGTATGCTGGGTGGATTTCATGGCTCCAGTGGGAGTAATGAACCCATGTCATAAGATCATATTTCGTCATATTTGGTGCAATTCGGTCATATTTTTCCTCGAAATTGTTCCAATTTCATTCCTGCAAATTTCCCGCAGCGATCGCCCCCCTCCCCCTCTCTCGAGTTCTAGGATTTCTTGGCTCAGTTGGTAAGGTCAGTTGGTATTTGAGTTATATTTGACGGATTTTGGTCATAATTTACGATCTTATTTAAGCAGGTTTTAGGTCATGAAAGTCCGTCCTCTATGAATTAGGCACTGCTCGAAGATGTTACCTTACTTCGAGTAACACAAGAATGAGGTCTCCACCCATCACATTCTGCGGTGTCCCAAAGTATCTGAACGCAAAAAAAAAGACTGGGTGCGTGTAGTTACACAAATTTGATGCATCAAGTCGACATTTTAACTCTCTCAGACCGCTTTAACTCCGACAATACTAAGCCAGCTCGGACGACGAAGGTCCTTCGGAACTTCAAAAATTGACGTACCTTCATCGCATAACCTGAAACACGAAGTCCCAAATATGGAATAGACTCATGTCTTCGATCGAAGTCAGAGCCAACTTCCCCCTAGACCACGAGAAGGGCCAGAACGTGATATCGACCTTCGACGGTCTGTCGTGCCGTGTATAAATTGCCCGAGGCTCGGGTAGACTTGCGGTCGAAAATGAGCAGCATGGCAAAACTGAGATGAAAGTGTCGAATCCTCCGATCGGAGAATTCGCGGTCGAAGAATTAAAGGCCGCGGAAAGAATTGAAGGAAAATACTGGAAGATATATGGAGATGAGGACGAACGGAGCGCTTCTCACGCCTCTCTCGTCCCTGCTTGCATGCATATTCTGAACGGAGGAAATGCAGTATTTACCTGGCAAGCGGACCGATGTCAACTACGGTCGCAGAAAGACCATCTCTTCCGATCCGAAGCACCGGATTTCGTCGATATGGTGAATCTCGATGCATTCGACAGCAGACGAGCCATTCGTGTCATAGGTCCAAGGTCGCCCAGAGATCGATCGGTGTAGCGATAAAAAAACTTTTTCGGATGCTTTTCCTCCTACGGTTGGACATCGCGATTGGTCTCCGCGTCCTCCACGAAACATCCAAAAATCACTCGAGCGATGACGAACGAGAACGGGCATCGGTGATCGCTAAGCCTCGGCCGAGGACCGATCCAAGAAGTTTTCTCGGGTCGGATCGAGGCCTATTTCTTTCCGGTCGAGTTTCTCGAACCGCAAGTTACGGGCCGAGTGTGGTTGTGATCTGTCGGACTCGAGTTTCTCGCACCGTCTTGGCGAGCGCACGTTCCATCGGGCATACGAAGGAGTCCATGTGGAGCATCTCTCGCCGTCTCGACTCGGACGTCAGCAGACAGCGATGCCAACATCCCAGGTGAGAGGCGTCGACCCATGCCAGCATCCCAGGTGAAAGGCCTCGACCCGGAGAGCCACTCTCACCTCGATCGTCTCCGTTCGTCGTCCCTCTACCGAGAAGAGTTTTTTATTTTCCTCCTTCCCTGCGAGAGGGCCTGGAGTGGAAGAAACGGATCGCGTTCGCTTTCATCGGATCCACGACGAGAGTTACGATTTCCCGAAGGCGATCTCCTCGTGCTTCGTACGTATTCGTTCGCTCGTCTTTAGGTCATCCTATTCTTTCCGTGGAAACGCACCGACGAGAGGACGAGAGGCTTCTTCGGGACTGGCGAAGAAGTGCACTGCCCTACGAGAAAATCTTCCGTCTTCCATCTAGTTTTCACGGGAAGAGAGAACGAAACTCCGCTTCCATTCCTGGCACTCCTAACCCTTTCGCCGAAAATAGCTTCTCGTCCTTTTTAAAGTATTTCTCTCATCGATTCTTTCACGAAGCACTCGTCCCGAAGCCAGTGATCCATCCAGACACCGTCCACCTGATGGTAACCGTGGTGATCGATCGGTAGTCATTAATTATAGCTGATGTCGCGAAAAATATCGATATTAGAGACTGCTTTACGTATTTGGTGAGATTTCGCCAAAGGAACCTGTAAAAATGGGGAAATACATACATACATATTTTACGATCGGAAGCCGTTCTTTGGGATTTCTACAAAAAGATTTCCACGAAAATTTAAATTCGAATTTGAAAATAATATATATAACAAAAGGGAATCAGGGAGTAAAAGCAGATTTCCAAATGACCTCCTCCTCCTCCTGCCTTCTGACCGTTCCCAAGAGTGTGTCGCATCTTTCTCCTTTCTGGAAGTATTGGGAATATTTTCGGGAAGGGAAAGATCCGAGACGAATGCGTCGCCGCATCTTGACCCTCACTTGGCCAAGACAACCCTCAACGGAAAAAAACATATATTTTCGAAATTCTTGCGGTTTTGTTTGAGTTGCCGAGTCTAATAACGTCAAACTGATGTACTTATGTGACCTTCCAGCCATCAATGTATGCATATCAACAATGATAATTTCTTCCGGGATCGGTCCAGTAAGGATTAAAGGAAGAAGATTCCTTCAGAGCGTCCTTGTCACGCTCTTCATCTCGTACATCAGCGCAGTTTTATTATTTTACTGAATTGTCAGATGCTACTTAACCTTCACGTCCAAGCTCGACAGTTTTTACGGGTCAAATTACAACTCCCAGTCGCAGGTTATGGAGCTGTCTTTACTGGGAGTCAACATGTAACAAAAGTAAAAGCGTCATCATTTCTTGGTCCACCCTGTATGCGAAGGGAGAAAAGGATCTGAATTCAAACTCGCACAGAGCAACAATGAACACAGGTCACTAGCCAGGTCCCTGACGCAATATTTCGCCCTACTCCGGTGAAACAAATGGAATTCAGCGGACTGCTACAGCCGGAGGGCATAGCGTGGGGGAAGGAGGAATAGAGAGCTGCGCGGCCATTTAAAGGTGTTTCAGGGGAATCAATTCCCATGACATCATTTGGATAGAATATATATCACATTGCCACGGATTCACTTGGCCTAAACGTGAAAATTAATAGTATGTGAAAATTAATTGTATGTGGAAGTCAATTTGATTACCTCTACATTCCACCGGCATCATCTTCCGTCAATAAATTGGTGATGACTCTTCGTTACGGCATTATGTATCCCAAGATAGTCACTTTCTCAGGCGGAGAGTTGCATAGAATCCTATCTTAGGGAATGTTCTAGGACATGATTAGGCATGTATCAGCGTGATATTTCGTTAACACCACAGAGCGAGGTAATATGATGCGAATATTATGCAACACAGTGGGATCCGTTGTTATTCTTCTTGAGGGATGTTTCTAGATGTTTAATTATTGCTTTTAGTATCTTCATCTCATTGCGCCCCTCTTATGTCAGGAGATTACCCAGGAAGGGGACACACTTTCCAGGAACAATTCCCAATCACGGATTGCCATCTAAATACGGTGCAGTCACAAAATTATCGGATTGGAAAGAAAGTTCTCGGAATTTCATGAACAATTATTACAATCCAGTTTATTTAAAAGCAAAATCATCTCAATCATGAATGTAATCACTATTGGCCTCTATTACTTCACGCCAACGTTTATGCAAACTATGGATGCCATTCCAATAGAACTCTGGCGGCTGCGCTACGAAAAAGTTGGCCAAATCGGTTTTCAGGTCGTCT